TTATATCGAATTCCAACTGTCAAGGGATCTTTTACTTGCACGCCAATGTGTACACGGGACCTCGGTTTGTCGTCCCATCCGAACGACTAGACAGATGTCCTTGTCAGGCCCTCCGTCCTGCATCACTGAAAAGGGGGAACCACGCCGGAAAATCTGGATGAACTTTCTCGGCCAATGCAGGGATCGTACACCCGACCTCCAGGCTAGCGAGTCAGCGTCTTATCCACTTAGCCACCGCGATCCCCTGGAGAAATACAGACCAAAAATGTTACTGTTCCTCTTTCAGTACAAACAATTTTTAAAATGGTAAATATATGACAAATTTATGGGATGGGTAGATGTTGAGAAAAAATAGGTTAAAAGCTCCATCTTCATAATCTTTGGCAGGTATACACGATTCTTGAGTTCAATTATAGTCTTTGTTACAAACTTAACAATGTTTGACTTTTCTTAAAAGAAATTAGTGTCGTAAAATGAGTTATTTGTTTCGTTTTGGATGAGTTTAAATATGGCTCTATTTTGTATCAGAGTGGTTTTGTTATTGACATAGAAGAGAGTTGACAATGAGAGAGGGCTCATATCGAGTCATCCCCTTGTGTTTAACAAGTGTGACAAGGCGAGACTTACACGTGGTCGGTATTTTTCTCCTCAATTGTCGCCTTGTTTCAACAGGTAAACCTCCCCAATATTTCAACATTGTCGTGTGCTGGGCATACATAGCTTTCTGATGGGCGGCCATGTCTGTTGACCCGCTGTGTATGCGCAAACCAAACTACATACGGGGACGTTTAAATAGCTTAATGAAAGAACATTGTCAGTGTTACAGCGAGGAATTCCCATTTAAAAACACACAAAGTGGAACAAAATGTTTCTCGATTGAGTGTCAATTGTTGTGTGTTGGTGCAGCATTTGTTTAAGCAGGTCACTAATTGGAAGGTATTTGAGTCATGATGTAATCAGCCAGATGCGCAGGTGATGCGGTGTCATCAACATTAAATACGAGGCTATCCTAACCAGCATCTTGTTTTAAAACAATAAATATTAGTATTATCCCACAGTAACAGCTATAATAAGCTCTTGTATTAAACCTCAAAATTGCATCGTCTACAAATACGATGTAAGAGATTGTGTCAGTAAAAGAGTTGAACCGAGCGTCTTAAATTGATGTTCAGGTTAGAAAAATGGTTACACTATGGAAAAAATATCAAATTTTAAAATTGAAAATCATGGCCAATTATAATAACTAGTTTGTTCTATATACCTTTAAATGCTTTATAAGTAGACAATTATATGATTCATGTGAGACAAGCAGTTAAAACTTAATTATTTTCCTGAAAACTTAACAGTAACTCACTGTTTTGACCCCAACCAAATTTGTAACATTCACGTGTAACAAGTGAAGTGAATCAAACACTAGTGTCACTCGAGTGTTACCCTAATCTCAGCCCATGGAACTTTTCCTATTTTTAACACGGGTTCCAATAGGGCAGTACGTCTACCCCCTAGGGGTTAACACTTTAGCGAGGTCAAAAGTAAGATGTAACTTGGTATCTGATTTTCATAAAATGTTATTTTTTCGCCTAATATCATGATTCAATATTAAAAATCCTTAAAAATTTATACAAAACACCACACAAAATCTGGGAGTTCTTTGGGTCAATTCTTTAGAAATAAGTGAAGAAATTATCGAAGCAGGATAAACGGAAGCCGTGTTTGAATTTGTTTCTGGTTGTTGTCTGGAGATTCTACCTTGTAATTTTATCCACAATTGAACGAAAATAAAGCTGTAATTATCTCCCCTTTGGCTTACGCTTTATTTGAGGTCAAAACTATTTAAAGCAATACTACTTTTGACCTCATCCATTCTGTTTGAATGGAAATCCAATTCAATTCTGGACGAAAATTTAAACGCAATTTATTGATAATTAATTAAATTTGCAGATTCGTGGTTGTGCGGACAAAAGAATTTGTAAAAGAGACTGAAGTAAAACTAAACCGTGTTTGTTTTTCTTGAAATTATAACAACTTTTCTTTCGGTCCAATATTGCTTTAACCTCAGATAATAAAATTCAAAAATCATATGACCTCTTGCTCTTGGATGATTTTAATTGAAATGAAACACGATACAACTAAACAAAAAATAGTCCTTTTTAATATTTCATGCCTTTTTGAAGTTTCAATTTTTAATTTCTGAATTACGCAATGGTATTAATTTCTGCTTCATTAGTTTTAATTAAACGAAAGTTAACCAGCGATAATGGCTATTTGTGAGATATAGTAGGATGCTGCACGTTCTGGTCTGTCTCAATACGTTAGGAACATTGCATAGACCCAAGAGAGAGGTAATTGTGTGAGAAGTTGATTAGCACGACTGTACCCCCGGCCAGCTGCATCTCAGCAACTCATCAACCAATGTCAACAACTCCAATCATCATAGCCAGATTAAACCGGCATTTTTCCTTCAAAAAGATCGCAATTTGCTAATTTAATTTTCAATTTGGCTGCTATTAGGCAAACTACTGTGTGATTCCGTGCTACATTTACTGGCGATTTGTATTCAAGCAGTTCCCTAGCGAGTGCCGGGCTAGATTAATGTGATTAGCATCTGAAAGCATAGAGACTCAAAAGAGATCGCAACTCTATCAAATAAATGGCCGTCTGAATAACGCATGGTTCCCCGCTGAAAGCGAACAAGAGAAAATTTGTCTGATGTGCTTTTGGCACAAGTTGATGAGGTAAATTAGCGAATTGAGCTCGCCCCGATGCGACCGAATTTCACCGATACAGCAAATTAAACTGCGTGCTTTATTAGTTGAATGGTATTGTAGATGGACACGCGATGCCAATTTTTACCCATTAGACCAATCCATTTGACTCGCCTTCGCCGATCTAATTTCGCTCTTTACCCAATTCTATTCACTCCAGCCCATCAACTCGTCATATAGGTTTCCTCTTTAATCCAATAGACTAACCCTCCCCTGATCGAGCGGGGTTTTCAATTTCTTCCTCTATTCATTGATATCGCGATCCCGACAAACGGTATCCACAAACTCTAATAACAACATCTTTCAGCTTCATCGATTTTATAAAGCCATAATCGTTTTTCGCCAAACTCACAAATTTTCTAGTCGCGTCTGTAAATCGGTGATTTCTTATTAGTGTCGGGCGTTTAAAAGCCAACTTATTTAAAAGGTCTGCCGTTTAGGCCGCTGTAGGCCGATAATCGAAGATTTCTTCAAACAAACACTTGTTTCGTGAATTGACCGTCGAGGCAATTTGCCTGATTAGGGCGCTCTTGGCAGCCTGAACTTTACCGATCTTCTGGCAGAATGCTTTGTACGCGAGGCGATAATTGATTAAACGTTGCCTTCTAACGGCACTTAAACACATAAGTAAATGAAATGGTCACCATGAATCAAATGAATATAGCGCTATTACTGCCTTGACGCGAGCTTGGGGAGTGAAGCATTTCATTTAATTCCCCGCTTTCGATAAATATAGGCGAATTAATACTGTATTTGACAGGCTATTGCCAACATCAATTGCCGCCTGCCCGCCGGAAAATAAATACTCTCCTTTATCAACAAAGCGAGTAATCGAGCGAAAAATTGCTCTTACGCGCGGAAAACATCTTATCGAATGTTAAGCTAATAGTCTATTTTCTGAGATGATTTGTATTCGTATAAATGGTTTCAGCAATCTTATAATAAGATGTCATCGAGTCGAAAATGATATTAAGTCATTAGTGAACATAAAGATATAACGTGATTAAATTAGTTTGGGCTGGCGGAGGGCCTCAAGAGAATAGAACACCAGCCGCTAGCCACCTAATTTTACGCTCAATAGAGAAATTTCTTTATATTGATGTTAAGGCGTGAAGTTTTTACAATGATTAAATGGACCCGGGAACCTCTCACATCCTATCCTGAATGTGTCATGAAGTATCTGCAATGAATTAATCATAGCATTCCGGGATGTGGACTAAATCAGTGTTAAGTGGCGTAAAATAATTGAGTAATAGCTTTCACGATTTACAGATCAGGGGAATTTCACGCACAGACTGTTTATAAGGATGGTGTTTTAAAAAATCCGGCGCCTTCGCAGATCCCATAACCGTCCCGAAGACGTCAGGGAATTGACCATTTTATTCTTTTTGCGGCTTTTGGTTGATCTCTTCAAACAATGATATTAGTTGCAATGCTAAATAAAATCTTTTCTTTAATAATTTTATGACACCATATTATATGATACTACTTTATCAATTAATAAATTAATATGGTAGTGTTGTCAATATTGGAGATCAGACAATAAAAGTAAAAGGAGGAGATCCCAGTTCCAGACATCATGTCTTTTCCATACAAGAAAATCAGCACGTTATTAGAATTATCGTGTTCAATACCATCTTGTGTAATGATTAAGTTGACGATTCATAACGATTTACGTTTTAAATAGAGTGATTTATATTGATATGAAACTTACATTTCATATAATCCAGCGAATGTGTTCATTATTCTGAAATGGTGGTCTAACACCATAATACGGAATTAGATAAAACCCATATTAAAACTAAATCGCAATGTAAATTTTACTGATACGTTATTTAATACATTCTTAAAGGCCACTTTGCTAAACTGTAAATCTTATGAATTACAAACCAAGCAATTTAGTGATTTGATTGCATTTTAATTAGGGTTGTATAAATTTCAGACAATTAAATATGCAAGAGAACTTGATTATTCCCATCTCCTTCCTCCACTCCCCGACATTTTGAAAGAGCACACGACGTGGACACGTGTGTGATTTTCGTTTCTTCGGGGTACAATCTCGGGTGACATTATAAACCGTACATTGTCAGATTCAGGTTACAATTAGTCGAGATAGTTCAATGTATTCGCTCTATGCCCCAAAAACGTTTTGATTTTCGAAAACGTCATTTTCCCTGCTGTCACTTGAGTGACCCCAAAGGAAGCTTAATAATTATTTTTTGTTTGTGTTTTTAGGTGGAGGAGGTGTAGTTGGTAAATCACGTCGACCTAGAACCGCTTTCACATCACAACAACTACTAGAGTTAGAACGACAATTTAAAATGAATAAATATCTCTCAAGACCTAAAAGATTTGAAGTCGCCACAACTTTGATGCTTACAGAGACACAGGTAAGGAGCAATCAAATAAATATTATGCTTATTAATTAGTCCTAAAATCATATTATCGTCAAAAAATAATCAATAACAATTCATGCAGTTAACATTGTCCGATTATTTTTTTTTTTAATCAAATCCTTCCTTGTGACCACCTACAATGTGAAAAAAAAAAACCCAACCCAACAATTATTAGCTTAATCATGCCTATTCGATTGAAAATTTAAAAATGTCAATTTATTCAAGAAACCCTAGTTAACAACTAGAGAATTGCTAGGTTACAAATACAATTTAAATCTAATTTTTGATACGCCAGACAAAATTATATAAATAGTTATAAAACTGAGCTTCCAGCTAGAAAACACAACTTTTAACCAACGGGGATATAAAATGTTATTCAAAATTTCAAAAACACAACGTGAGGTTTGGGGTTACTGCATTAAGGGAGACAGCAATGATGATGCTTCATCAGACTGATATGATATATTTTGATAAAAATAATAATATTACGTCATCGAGAGAACGCCAACAACAATAATCTTAAAAATGAAATGAAATGAAATGGAGTTTAACGTCCTACTGTTCTGCTCCTAACCTGGGCTAATGAAGACGGGCATACGCCATACAGTGTGCTATGAGGGAAATTTTGCCCGGACAGCGGCACTACGGCCTACTCTTATATCGAATTCCAACTGCCAAGGGATCTTTTACGTGCACGCCAATGTGTACACGGGACCTCGGTTTTTCGTCCCATCCGAACGACTAGACAGCTTTCCTTGTCAGCCCCTCCGTCCTGCATCACTGACAAGGGAGAACCACGCCGGAAAATCTGGATGAACTTTCTCGGCCAATGCAGGGATCGAACACCCGACCTCCAGGCTAGCGAGCTAGCGTCTTACCCACTTAGCCACGTGATCCCCACAATAATCTTAAACCAAGCTTTGTAAAAATAATAATAGTACTACTTTATTAATACAAAGCCAGCAACAATGATCTTAAACCAAGTTTTGTAAAAATAATATTAGTTCGTCAATAAAAAGCCAATAACAATGGCCAACAACAATAATCTTAAACCAAAGTTTAATTCTGTTCAAAACAATAAAAGACCAGTAAACATTCCAACCGTGATTATTACATCTATTTGCGACCACGTGGTTGTAAAAGAAAGGTAAATTTATTCAAACATTAAGACTGGGTACAATAGACCGAACCTCTTTATAAACGATAACAAACCCTTGGTAACTATTCCATTCAAATGTTTAATTTAAGCGATTATTTGGGTAGGAATCATTGAAAGAGATCGGTTGAAAAATGAAATGTTTGCGAGGATTTCAGAAAGTTCGCGTTGAAACAAGCCTAGTCTCTACTCCAGGACATAATAGGCCAATAAGCGCGTGTAAATGGTGCTTGAAATGTTACAAGGGTCTGGTTGGCAATGGCGAGAAGTCACGTCCACGGTCTTCTAGGTTTAAACAACAAATACTAGCCACTTAAAAGACAACATCAACTAATGTTACAAAGCATCTATTGTCTCCCTTTCTTTCATATCGGTGGTAAAGGCATGAAGGCACGCGCCTCGAGCACAGAGAACCCCTTGCTTGATCCCAACTAAAATGGCGTCGGGCCCACATGCAAGGACCTTCTTGTAATTTTTCAAATTTGCCACTAGCTGGCACGAGTTGCAATTGAGGACAGTGTAATGTCGGAGCAAACATGACGTGTCATTAACGGGATAATGTTCGTTTTCAATCGTTTACCTTGCTAATATAACCTGACCTTCCCTTGGCCCAAACCGACACCTTGGTCAGCGTGTCAGCCATTCTTTAACAATGGCCCCCTTATACCCTCTCATCAGTTATGTATGACAGTTATGAACAATATGCAAATACATCGATTTGCTCAAACATGATCGTCCTCGTTGGAGTTTTCACGGCGATGAAATGTGAATTTACTCGGATAGAATGCTAAATATTCAACAAAGAGTCGTCTTTTCTCTTTTATTTGATTGCCATATTTGGCAAAATATGATTTTATTGACGAATCTGTAAACAAAGTCTTGAGTACAAACCGCTGTCACGGAAGTTGACAAATATAACTAAATAGAAGAAAATATTATTGTGTGATAAAGTCAAATGTATTGTTAATGAAATATGTGCACAAACTTTATTGAGCTTGTGAATTTGTTCATAAATATTTCATAATCTAGAAAAAGCGGACTAATATTCGTGGTCTCCTTTGTTTCCGAAACCAAACTAAAAATTATCAAACCTTAGTAAAAAAAAAAAAAAAAAAAAATAAAAAAAAAATAACATATTTTGATGTTTTACTAAATCTTACTTTTAGTTAATAGCAAATTTCAAGACAAAATAGGTGTTAAACATGAATGAATGAATAAATGAAATGGGCTTTTAACGTCCTACTTTTCTGCACCAACCGGGTAAATGAAGACGGACATACGCTATACAGTGTCCTATGGAGAAAATGTTGCCCAGACAGCAATTGAATTCCAACAGTCAACGGTAACGCCTAAACACTGTTCCTTGCCAAGCCCTCCGTCCTGCACCACTGACAAGGGGAAACCACAATAGAACATTCCGGGTCCTTCCGGGAACTTTCTCGGTCACCAACAGGAACGAACCCGGCACCTGCTAGTTATTAAACCCGCACCTTACTCACTGTGATACATTATGGCTCCGATGTTGAATTGAAGCCTTTGCAGAGAATTTCATTTTTGAAAATAAAAATCAAAACAATGTCGATAAACTTTTTTTTATATTATGGAAATAAAAAAGGAGCTAGTTTTCTCACAAAAAATGTTATATTTTCCCTACAGACTAAAGTGACATTTAAATACCGTTATCACGAGTTAATATACCATGCAAGCCAAATAAATTCCAGTAAATTTTTATAAACGTCTACGTTTAAATCGATCTAATCTCTGCATCTCACGCCTTTAAAGAAGTTTAATCAGCTATCTGAAGCAACTTATCTTTTCGTCAATGTCATAAGCGACTAAACATGTCCATTAGCAAACTGATTACTTTTACGCACCAGTTAACGAATAATCTCGCGTGATTACCGTTTAACCACACGCCCTCCTTTTATCAATCAAATAGAGTTTGATTAAAAAGGTGTCAATTTCGTTAAGATGAAAGTTTCAAGAGCTTATTAATTGAAGCTAACGCATCTTTATGTTCCTGGACCTGTGTCATCCTTCAGCAGTCACACAGAAGCCTCCGCTCTCATCTACTGATGTATTGAGCGCTCAAAACAATCTTTAGTCGATTTCAAGTTTAAGACTTTTAAGGAACTTTGTATAAATATATACCCTTTAACAAATGAGGAATTAATCAAAATAATTCTTTTCAAAATAAATCGAATATGAACGCTTTCTTAACTAACATGACAGTCACTATAACCCAGATTAAAAGGCAAATATAGAAATGAAATTGGGTTTTAACGTCCTACTGTTCTGCTCCTACTGGGCTAATGAAGACGGGCATATGCCATACAGTATGCTATGAGGGGCATTTTGCCCGGAGAGTGGCGCTATGGCTTTCTCTTATATCGAATTCCAACTGCCAAGGGATCTTTTACGTGCACGCCAATGTGTACACGTGGCTTCGGTTTTCGTCCCATCTGAACGATTATACGTTGTCTCTTGCCATGCCCCCAGTCCTGCACTACTGACAAGGGAAAACCACGCTGGAAAATCCCGTTCAACCTTTTCAACTAACGCGAGGATTGAACACGGCACCTACAGGTTAGCGAGCCAACGTTCTTACTCACTGACAAAATGCTATAGAATGCAGTTACTATGACTCTCTTGTCATCATTAGGTGGTTTATTAACGTCTACTCAACACAAAGTAGGCCATTTCGGATCTAACAATGGTACAACCAGATGAGCCGAATGAACCCCATTTAGACAGGTGGCCCTACTTGTTTGGGATCTAACAAACCATACAACTTGACTCAATGACAGACCTTATATGATTCGAAGCGTTAGACCATTCGATAATTTGATTGTGGTGTAGTGTAATGTCTCGGTGATTAGATTTTAACAAGTTTAGCTGTTTTAGAGCCACGTCTCGATAATTTAGTTGTTAACTATTTGCATTTTTGTCAAGAAGTCATTATAGAATGTACACGCTCTGGTGAAATGTATACCCCATAAGTTGGAGTTTTAGATATATTGCTGCACTGATAATTGAAAAATTAAAATCATCACTTTTATTTCAAAATTTAATATTACATTTGTGGTTTGTGTCCATATTGAGTAACATATCCATTATGGTTATGGGTAGGGGAACCGCGGTGACTCAATGAGTATACGACACTGGCACGCAAACCTGGAAGTTCAGGCCGGGTTCGTTCCAGGTGTGGGCTGCGAAAGTTTTCCGTTGTCAATGTCAGTATTTCAAGATGGAGGGCCTCGCAAGGAACGGCACCAAACCGTTCAGATGCGACGACAACTGAGATCTCGTGTACACTTGTTGTGCACGTAAAAGAACCCCTGACTGTTGGAATTCGAAATAAGAGTATATGCCGTGGTATTGCTCATTGCACACTGCATGGCGTATGTCCGTTTTCATTAGTTCGAATGGGGCAGAAAAGTAAGACTTTAAACCCCATATCATTTCATTGCGGGGAGTTCCTTAAATCTCCGATCTCAAATTTATGATATTAACCCTCGCAAATATATAAAGTACAGTTGGTTTCGAGCACTAAAGAACGATCTGTGCAATCTACTCCGTTTATCATTGGCTCATTTTCCCTAGCTACTTGAAAATCCACATCAAAGAGAAATTAATGAAAATGATAAGAAGACATCACCTTGGTGATTACACAATATATATGTGGGGATGTCCTGATATATACGTTTCTCTATCCACATGTATCTATATAGACAAACAGATTTTAATACACCAATCTACAACGTGTGATCGTTCTTATCAACGACAAGTCCTTCTTAACAACTTAATTTGCTTGTTGAAATATAGATTAATTATAGCCGAAAAACAACCCCCCATAAATGGTGCGATTTATCGACGTAGATTATCACTTAAGTTAATATGTTGACAACGGCTTTGTGCTGATGACACGGTAGACAAATCAAGCTTACCCATTTACCAGTAACATAGGGGTGAAAAGTACGGGTATCTTGGTGAAGGCACGAAAACTCGCGGTAGCTGAACCGCCTCCATTACGTGCGACACACACCTGGGTACTATAGCGAACAGACTCCAGAATTTATAGATAAAAAGACCGTTCGCTTATCGCTAGACTGTCACCATTAACAAATATCGGGCAAAATGCACACAATTAACAATAAATCGCTCCTAAATACGCCATAGGGTATTATCTATAAGCCGTGATTAAATATAGGTTACAATGCCTGATCTGTGTTTCGATGATACCCCATGGTCATGGTGTTTGTATGGAGCTTTAAAGAGTCAACCCAGCATTGCTACGGTACAAAAAGGCTACCAAACTATCATACCTGCTGCGTAAAACAATGATAATATCAAAATGATGTCTTTGTCGAAGAGGTAGATTTAGATTGGTTCAATATTGTCACAACATACCACTGTGCCTATATTTTCTACACTCAAAGACAAATCAGCTCATATTTGGCTTTATTAGGCTTAACCAGCTCAGCATCAACTCGTTTCAATTTAAATAGGTATTAGTTTTGGGGTTCTTTTCGTGTGTTTTGGTTTACTTTTAAAGAAAGGCGCCCTTTTTTGATAACTCGTATAGTCAATGGTTGTTTTGGTTGCCACAAGTCAAGACAGCACAAGAGTGTTTTTTTTTGTGATTGACCAACGTCACGGGCAGTGACTGGGGTGTTTTTGAAATATGCGCGGCAATGGAATGTCTGGATTTGGAAATAAAGCTGAAATTGCATTTAGATTTCAGTAGACAATTTGGACAAACTAAAGATAGCGAGACACACCCGACCAATTTGGATTTACGACAGATACATAATAGTGTGTACATATTTTTCAAATTTCGGTTATGCTAGGACATGCACGTTTTATGCAGACGTGATAACCGTCCAAATTTCTGAGGCGGGGTTATTTAATTGAACTTTCCGTTTCACATCTATCCGTAGTATCTCATCGTAATTATGATTGTCATTCATGGGTCAGAGTGTAAACCGTTTTAAATATTTTCAAAAAAATGTTATGGAGATTTATGCAACAATTTTTGTGTGTCTAATTTGACCAGTATTAATATGCAATTGACTTTGTAGAACTTTGGAATTCGACAATTTCTTTAATTGCCAACGATAAAATCCTTACAAATTGGTGTATAAACCGTGTAATATTCACGATTTAATTCAATTTACATGACGTTCTACAATATAATTCTTATTAAATCATCGATGCATCATATCTCTGCTATCTTGATAAAAAAAAACAATCTCCATTTTTTGAGCTGAAAATGTGCAATTTCTGCCATATCAACGGCTAATTAAATATAATGAATTGGTGCAAATGGTTGATGATCACAGGAAGACAAAATGAATTCTCTCACCACCGAGATATGATTATGACTGATTTGAAATCCCTTATCTGTGACTTAAGTGATAAATTTCTTGTTATTTGTCATGTTGTATGGAATCTAATGAAGACAAACGGTAACTATTTCACGACCCGATTGATAATTCTTCAGCGATTATCACCAAGACTTATCTTGGCTCTTCATCAAGCGAAATCTGAAATGAGGATGAATGGCTTTATAACGATACTTAATGAACGTATTATTCCTTCAATTGCTTTGTAATGAAGATTTAATGAAAATAAACATTTCCGTTGCTAAAGTTTTAAATGATATAAAACACGATTTGTCGTTTTGTCAATTGGCATCTCGCGTTGGCCCGACAGGATTGAGACCGGTGAAGAATTTATGCTTTGATGTTATCAATATTAATATCATTTTTCACACCCGTTTACAGTTTCATCTGTTTAAACAGGAAAGTCACTGATAATTATCATAATGTAAATAATGTTATCAAAAGATTAAAATAGGATTATCTTTTGTAAAGTGACAATCTTTCAAGTTACTTTGAATAATAGTCCAATTAAAATACTTCATATACCAGTGTAGGCTAGCTGTAAATATAGACTGAGTATCAAAGACAGAAACAAATAATTATAACATACGCGTGTATTATACTAGCAGTAGCACACATTTTAAAGGGTATTAATATTTATTATCCATTCAAGCAATACACAAGCAAACATTTAAAGGGTATTAAAGTTTAAATTCCAAATAAGCAAAAAGACAAATAATTTAGGAACACGTTGATTAACGATGATAAATACGTAGTATTGTAAAGGGAATGTTTCCAATTATTATAGGTCACTGTGTACTAACATAAATTCGGTCTCAGCATTTGCCCATGCAAGATTTTTATCAACATTTTGTAGTTCTTGATTTTATGATGTGCATTCTATCAAAATATTGTCTGTGTCAACTATAATACACCCAAATGCTAAAACTTCAATTTAAGTAAAATGATCTATAGCAGACTTGGGTGAAAATATAAAATTATAAATTTCACTTGATTTTATATGTTGATTATGTTTGTGGGGATGGCAATCTGTCTTCGTTGAACATTTTAGACAACTCTAATGATATGATATAACCGATTTTGTATTCCAAAGTCGTCATAAACTGTAAAAAGTAAATCATATTAGTACACTAATCGACATCTGCTTACTTTTTTTAAAAACAAAAATTGCTCACCCGAACAGCCCTTATCAAACCTTAATGTTGCCTAAATCAGGGAGCTTTAGCTATTTCAAGATAAATATAAATTTGCTAGCCAAATGGAAATATATTCTATGGTACACACGACAAAGTTTATAGTGGTCATATTAAAGAATATGGAAATACATGGATATATTTTTGCGTTGTTTTTTTTTTGATTGATTGCTAAATTAATCTGTAAAATATATTTGCAGGTTAAAATATGGTTCCAGAACAGACGTATGAAATGGAAGAGAAGCAAAAAAGTGGTGAATGATTCCAAGTCAAAGGACGATAAATCTAAATCCGACAGTAAAGAGAGCAAACATTCGGACACAACTGTTAGCGGTGACGATGACCACGAATTCGACGATGCTGATATGTCAGACGACGATGATGACGTTAATTCTCAAAACATTGACGTTACAGATATTACTGACAGCGAGGCAGAAGACAGAGCGCGCGCAATGATATGTTTTCCTCAACGATCTAGTACAGATATGGACCATACAAGTATAGCACAGGAAGTGAACGGGCGGTGCAATATAGTACAAGCGCATGCATGAACGAAAATGTGCGTTTTTCATGAATTATGAAAGTATTACAATGAACAAAATTCGGAGACTATCGTGCGTTGTTTAACACGGGTTTATTTATATTACTAAGAAGCTAGGCTTCTTGTTGACCATGATAGCGGAATAATGACATCAGGAATTTATACGGACGGTTTATAACCAGCAATATATTTTTAAACTGTGGACTTGCCATACTGTACGCTGTAGTTTAGAGATAATTCCGGCCAAAATGCGCCATGATTCGTTTGGATTGGCTCTATTAAAGAAGATTAACATAGGGTGTCACCCAAGTTTGAGATTTGTGAATATTAACCAAGATATAATGTATAGTGAATCATACTGGGTTCGCCTTTAATAGACAATAGGCAACGTTACATGATTTTAGAAAACCTGCGTTCTTCGATTCAAGAAAACTCATTGGAAACTCATTCATTAAACATTCATGGCATTTTAAACTTTTTTCTGTCCAAAAACTGTAGCCATTCCAAAATATCCAGTCAGTGTCACCAAATGCCGCGTTTCTCATTTGTATTTGTGACAGTATTGTAAGTGTGTCTGAACAGAGGAGATGATAAAATGTCCAAACTGGTATAATTAAGTGGATAGCATGTGTAATAACGATAACCTAATTTCGTTTCTTTCCTTTTTAAGGTTGTGTAAAAAAGAGAAATAGCGAAACGAAAAAACAAAAACAAAACAAGAATTGTAATTAAATAGTCTCCCATCTCTAATGTTTTTATACTTCAATATATACAAGCGGATAATTCCATACACCCGTATTTAAATATTTTATCGAATTAAAAAAATAGCAATTTAGCTGAAGAAGGGCAACTTAAACTAAAGCCACCTCGCCTATACATGTATATTTAGAATGATATAACTATAAATTATGAATCTCTGTAAATATGTATATATTTATCAGTCCATATAGACATTGTGCTTATTTATTATAGAAAATGTTGTTATTAATAAAACTTACATATATGTAGTATATTTCTCGAATTATTTATGTTTAAAAAGTATTCTGTAATACACGAGAACTTCTAGGGAGGATTTAGTAGTAAAATAGTGTACCATGTTTAGTGCAAGCTACATAAAATACTAGATCACATCACATAAGGATATAAGATCTATGGACAAATAATAAGGTTTATGGACAAATAATAAGGTTTATGGACAAATATAAGACATGAAAAGACCATAATCAACTCTCGATGCTATCTTATCTATCCGACTTTCAATTGATTTGAATCACATCTGCTGTTCAACGTCCGCTGATGATTAAACGCAAAAATGGATAATCGAGACTTTGTTACTTATCGTGACAGCGCTAACATCGACAATCAAGTCTACAAAGATTTTAAAATAAGGTATTCTCGACTTAGAGTGAAGCAATTGGATTGAAATTTTCAGCATATTCCCTATACACCATCTAGTTTTTAACTATTATAGTGAGAACTAACAGCTCCTTATCTAATATCCCATAATGTATCTTTAATATAAGATCACTTATCATTTTTATACAAAAAATCGCTTAAATGCTATACGATTTTGACCAGATAAAAAGTTTGAAAATCTATATAAGATCTATGGACTGCCCTAAGGTTTATGGACAGATCAATGAACTAAAATATCATTGGACTGACACAAGATCCATGTACTGAGATAAAGATTTTCGGGCAGATCAGAGATCCATGAAGTGACACATAGAGATATTTAGATTGAGATAAGATTTACTGATGACTACACAACAAAACAAGAAATTAAATGATTTATCAAGTACGTTGACAGGCAACAAAACATGCGCCCACAAACGTGTTTTGAAATGGCAATAAATCAATATTTGGTTTTACATGTACTTTCTCAAATATCATTAATTTTATTTACAGTCTATTAAGATTTCAAAATAATCCGATGATAATTGTGACCTATTAAGCGCTCCAGAATTGAATTCACTCAATCCAAAAAGATAGTCACAATGACTGCTAAAACATATTCGTTGTGTTTAATTACGTAACGATTCTACTCACACTACCTCCGTAATCTGGACTGACAGAACTGTGACAGGAATGAATTCCGCGTCACTCGATTGGAATTCTGTTCATTTCGGACGTTCAGGACTGATAATCGAGCATCCCCCTAGACTGCTGACAAGGGTAACAACTTCAGGAGAATTTGTCAAAAACAGTATGCGTATTCCTGTAAACCACCTGAATAAAATTTCAAAAGAATGCTCTATGATAAGTATTACCCGTGGAGAGTTACTATTATTTCAGGGAGCAAGGGAGTAAGCCCGGAAGTAATTGTCGACAATCGTTGAAAGTTAATTGATACTCCTTCAATAAGCCAAATAAACAATAATAAAGTGGCCTTTCAAGTGTTAATAATAATGGGTGAACTGATGGACGGACGGACTGACGACAATATTGACCATATGCAAAAATACATGTAAAAATATATTTGATCCGGTGGGCACGCTGGCACGCCTATGCACTGCTGCCCCGTTGTTAATAATCCAAATACAGAACAAGATGTCTTCATTAAATAATATTTATTAAACGCCCTGTCCGAGAAAAGTTATTAAATAAATAGAAAAATTTATAATGTTATGGACGCATGAGTCGGAGCTATAGGGTTTTAAAATCTAGTTGTCAAATCACAACATGAGCATATTACGTCCTTGTCGCAATTGTACCTATTTCCTTTGAATCCTGACGTATGATTTGAGTTAATTTACTATTGTTACGTAGAATTTTACCGGAACGGCGGCGTTTTCGGCTATTTTTCTTTGAATTATAAAAAATCAAAGCATCCTTTTCAGCCCCATACTACTTGTTCTTTGCAAAAATTTGACTTGACTTTAAATCCCCAAAGGCTTTTCTTTCGTCTTACGCCTGTCTTCGAACAAATTTACACGTTTCATATCCACCCTTTAAATTCGTGATTTTTCTTTAATTTAGACGCAACAATACATCTGCACAATCAAATGCACGGACTAGTAATTAAAATAAGATTCTGTTCCAATTTGAAATTCTTTAAAGGTTAGTGATACATTAGTTCATATTTACAAATGAATTCGTCGAGATTCTTACCAAATATTAGATTTTTAATGGATACATTGTATTCTGATGGGTGGCTACAGGAAGGAGTCCAGTGACTGGAGGTTTAGAAACTTTTGGGATTGTTAATCACCGCCTCCTGTTCTCAGATCTTGCGTTAAAGGTTAATATGATATACTAATTCAAATTACCAAATGAATTGTCATCTTCTTGATATTAAACATAACGCTGAACGGATCTATTTTTTAAAACTACAAGAACATCGATGGTAGAAATAAAAATACTACTGTTGTACTATACACCAATAATTTATAAATTAAAATTCTGAAGGTCAGTATAGGTTAGCAATATTATTCTTTATGCAATTTTTAGTTTGGACAGCCAACCCCCATTTTAAGCCTTGGCGTGGAAATATAGTCCACCTAATGTTTTTTGGTGGATTATATATCTTCAATATGTGTAGATTCAGAATCTCCTACTCCCACAGGAAAGACCCTTACGCGTTGCGCTAAGATAATAACAATGAAAATAAGACCACTTGTCTGTGATATCATCTCCGGCGGAAGCGGACGTTAACCACTAAGAACAACAACAACATTATGTACACACAATAATAAATAATTTTATTATATTAAAAACATTTGGATCCACAAATTATCAAAATTGATTAATTCTAATTGGGGTTGCTGTTATTTCCCATCGCCATCTTTATGTGTCTTGGGCTAACAAAATGATACTAATTATGCTATATTTTTGTACTAGTCAGCCCATTCTGGTCTTTTTTTCGAATGTGCTTATAATTAATTAGATCCTATTAAGAACCCTTACATTAACATGCATTGACTTTTGCGATAAATTCGAGCCGTTTGTCTTGATGTACCTTTAATGGTTGACATGTAATTGATTATTCCTACTTTCATAATTTACGTTTATGTCTATTCCACACAGTTATAGGCCTATTTATTCTGACAATAGCCTAGCAATTTCAATTCAAAACCACTCACCTAGATATCTGTTGGCTTTTTTAAAATATTGATTAATATTAATTATGATATCTTCAAGTAATTGATAAACACAACACCATGGTGTGAAAACTAAATAAATAAATTCCCATCGTCTTCAAGAGACTAATTAAAGAGGGCTAAAAATAATTAGCGCTTTTAGCAATTAAAGCATTGCTTTCAACTATCCAACGTGCTTCCAGTACGATAAATCTTCTTTAAAAACAGAAAATAAACAGGGAGTAAAAAAACTCAGTAATTACTGTAGTTATGAATCAATATCGGCGCTTTGTTTAATATTAGCTCAATCTTCGCGAAACGAACAAAATAATTACCCGAATGTCGCTCCCCGAGTCAACATTCAAATAGAATGATTTATGAAATTGTCAGTTATTGACACTAGAAAATGTTAGTGTCCCGTTGGTGGACATTTTTATGACAAGGGTACATTATAGTAATCAACTCCGACCCGCCGCCTTGTTAGGCACCACTGATGAACACATTAGCGATATGAGAGTGTTTTTCGGGTAAACACGATATCATTTTTCAAACGTCTTCAACGGTGATCAAATAAAGCTGCGATGAAGTAGGAAATAAAAAGATATTGATCTTGATTCCAACACGTCCGGATTTTATTGTCGTTTGGTCGTTAGATTGAATGGTTTTGTCCATAGAGGGCGCTGAATGTCAACAAGATTCTGACATCCGGTGCTTAATGTGGCGTTGATAATAAAGATGACTTACTCGGGAAAACACTGATTTATCGAAGTAAAATAGTGTGAACATTAAGCTAAGTGAGAGCTTTTACTGTAATTACTCTACTGATCGCTCACTTCAAGCCGTCATTTTAGCTTGTTTGTCGAGAATCGAATAGAAATTCAATCCATGATTGATTCGGCTATTAGTAAATTGCTCTGCTCAAGAAATATTCTATTTTATGGCTGCGCTGATTTACAATCTAGTTAGAAATTAACCATATAAATCTTAGTTTATCATTCAAATTTCTTGTATTATTATCATGAAATATACCTCGTTAAGATCAGTGAGGGGCCATTATTAATAATCTTATCCATTTCTTAAGCGTCATTCGTTTTAAATCGATGTGAAAATGATATTGTAAGACGAAACAGAGGAACGTTATGATCGGCTTGAACGGTGTTGATACAATTGTAACCATTAAGAAATACCATTCAGGAATTTTATTTCTCGGTCGAACAGAAAGGCTATCATATTTTACACGATGTCCATCCATTAGTAATATTTTTATTACACCAATATCTGAATAGTTGACGGATATATCTGCCACCGAGAAAAATCAATTTGTGAAATAAGTCTGTTGTTTCTAGGATAATAGATTAATGAATAAGTTGGATTATAAGGCGTTACTGTATATTATGCACCTCCCCTTGTTCGCCCCTCCCCTTACCAACCTTAGACGTCCATTGTGGTAATTGCATTTAATCTATCACGAAAACAGTTTGAAAATGAACAAATGGTTGGTTTGGAAATGACATACATTACATATAAAAAATGTACATATGTTACATATGTTTTAAATTTTATCACTAAAAAGGATTTTCAACAAATTTTAATAATATCGTTTATTTCGTACTAAACAATAAATTCTGTGCAGATATTCAACATTTTGCAGTTCACAATTCTGGTTTCCTTTTGAGAGTGTTTAACGTCCGCTCAACACAAACTAGGTAATTTCGGGACTAACATAATGTTTCAATTTTTATTTCAATAATTCGCTTGTACGTGGGAGGAAACCGGATAAAACCCACGAGGCTGGACAAGCGACCCGACTC